GGGGAGGGTTGATCCTGGCAGCCAAGCCCAACACTGACCTAGAGCATGCGGCAAGGCTGCCCTAGACTGGCTGCTGACTGACCACTCTGGACCACAGCTCAGCCTGGTCGGCTGCTGACCGACCGCTTTGGACCTTCATTCCTTGACATTTTCCCCCTTAGCAGCCCCATTAAATCCGAAGTCTCATCACAAATACGTATGACAGGGTGGCTCGGAGTCAGACACCTGAGCTCTGGGACAATTAGACCTAAAGTGGAGCCGGGCAGTCAGTGTGGCCAGCTGCTCCCGCGGCAACCAAATGCTGGGGCAAGTTGGCCTCCCCAGCCCACCACGGACCCGCCCACTGGGCCACTCTGGAAACCTTTTCTCAAAATTAACTTTTACCAAAGAGGACAAATTTCAGCTGAATCACATGAAAATCTGATGTGATGAGGGAAAGAAAACTTGACTGAGAGACGGGTGCAAGGACAGGAGGGAGGAGGACCCGGGCAGGGCTTCATGTGTCCAGGCGCTGGATCTCAGGGCGGCTGTCCACGTCTCTGGACTCCGTGCGGGCTCGGATATAGTCATTGGTGCTCTGCTGGCGGATGCTGACTCTCCATTTCTGCACTGCCAGGAACGTGTTCACCGCATAGGCTGCAGTGGCCAGGAAGCCGAATATCTAAAACACACAAGCACGGCTAGTCCTCAGGCACAAGACCTGGCCCTACACGGCCTTCTCAGCGACACAAACCACAGCTTTTTTCAGCACTGCCCTATCACCCATTCCTGCTGGATGTGTGGCTGTCACACCACAGCTGACCCACAGAAAATCCTTTAAAGTATTTTGGATCAATTGTTAAAAAAGATCACAGAAGTACCTCTTTTTACAGCACCTTCATGGCCTCTGGTCCCACCAGGTAAGAAAATACGATGCAGGCTCAGCACCTGTGACTCAAGTGGCTAAGGTGCCAGCCATATACACCTAAGGTGGCGGGTTCGAATCTAGCTCGGGTCCACCAAACAACAATGATGGCTACAACCCAAAACAAACAAACAAAAAAAATAGCCAGGCATTGTAGCGGGTGCCTGTGGTCCCAGCTACTTGGGAGGCTGAATCAGGAGACTCACTGGAGCCCAGGAGTTGGAGGGTGCTGTGAGCTGTGATGCCACAGCACTCTACCCAGGGGACAGCTTGAGGCTCTGTCTCAAAGAAAAAAAGGAAATATGATGCAGACAAAATATGATGTAGACAAAATGAGGGTCTCACATGTAAGTCCAGATCAGGCCATGGGATGGACATTCCAAACCACCTGCCTCTTACCTGGGCAGCTCCAGGGTGAGAAGCAGCAGGGTTTTAATTATCTGATAAGGAGTGATGAAGCTACTGACACCTGGGAGAGCAGCTAGTTTAACATTTTTATAGGCCTTTTAATCTCCCCCAATGTAAAAGTAATACATATTCTTTGAAAATCAAGAGCAAGGCCAGTAAATACTGTGGCATATGCTCTAGTCCCAGCTACTCAGAAGACTGAAGCAGGAGGATCTCTTAAGCCCAAGAGCTCAAATTCAGCCTGGGAAACATAGTGAGACTCTTATCTCTAATTTAAAAAAATAAATAAAAATACAGAGCACGAGAGGGAAAGTCTCCCATTACCTTGTCCCCAAACCCCATGGCATCTCACC